GTCATGACTTGGTCTCTATTCCCTCTGGTCTTGGTCATGACTTGGTCTCTATTCCCTCTGGTCTTGGTCTTGTCTCGGTCTCTATTCCCTCTGGTCTTGGTCATGACTTGGTCTCTATTCCCTCTGGTCTTGGTCATGACTTGGTTTCGGTTTAGGTGGTCTTGCAGCTACATAATATCAATAGGCTACAAATAAAACTGCCTCCAACCAAAAGTAGTCTATAAGTCACATCTATTTAAGTCACATATAGTGTGTATTTTTAGTGAAACCTAATCTTCTAGAAAGACACCTATCAGAAGTTAAATGAATACACCTTTGGCGTTGTAGCCTATTTTAAAGTTAATGATTTGCAACTAAAGTCATCAGCGCTGGCGTTGGCCTTGGTTTTCTCTGACATATAGCTGAGAGTAGAGAACATCCTTATTCGGGAGGACTTTTCTTTCTCGCTGTTGTTGAAGTGGGATATCCCACAATACTCTGCTGAAACCTCCCCAGCATCTGCTAAAAGCAATAGAAGTGGAAGCTCCAACTTCAACGTCAAAAATGTGAAAAATATAAAAAGTAATTATTGGTGTCAAAAGTGTCACATGGGAATTTTGCAGCCTATTTTCACGTTGCATCGCGTTGTCTTTCTTATTTTTAAAAACAGGAGGTCTAAAGAAAGAAAAAGCTGGGCTCACAGCTTTGTGTGGAGAAATATGCAAAACAGGCTTCAGAAACACATGCTTCTGAAGAATAACGGAGCAGCACATGGGTCGACTCCCCTGCACCGAGTATCGATTACTGGAGGAGCGCGGCGGCGTGTTTTCCCCTCTCCTCCTTCCCTGAAACGATCCGCTCTGACTCAACACATTGAGTAACATGATCAGCCTGCGAGATGTGTGATTTTCCCACAGACCCCCCACCACGTTTTCTTGTGTGTGTGTGTGTGGGGGGGGGGACAGTTTCATTTTGACATTTTGTGTCTTTGAAACGATTTCCGGCTTCTAAGTGTGAGCAGTTCAACAATCCAGAAAGAAAACACGCTGACGAGTTCGTGAAGCAACCTGCCGGCTGCACACTGTAAAAAGTGACGAACTGAGGGCTGTGGTGGTATTTTGTTTTCTTAAAGTGCAAACAAGAGACATAGTAAAAAAACAAGATCAAACAAGTATTATAATAAGTAAATAAGTAATAAACAGTAAAATAAAATGTAAAAATTCACAATAGTTAAAATATAAATAAAAAACCTATAATTATGAAGTAAAGAAAAGTAAAATATTACAAAGAAAGTATTAAGAAACACCAGTCAGCCATATTGCCATACTAAAAATAAATACTGTGTGTCATTTCTTGCAGTGCGGAGTCAACTATTTCTCTTAGTCATCGATGCATACCATAAAGACACGATTAATTACCGCTCGTGCTGCAGATCAACCACTTGTACTTTCCTTTCCTTCGTTAAAGTCCGTCCGCGGCTCTGCCCCGGAGGTGACTGGCCAGTTCTGGTTTTTCCACGTCACTCGGGATCTTCAATATAACTTGCGGAGCAATCTGTTGCTTCAAATCGCAGCTGTTGTGGGATCTGAGCAAGTCGAGGACTCAAGATAGTAATAAGATGGTGAGATTTTTTTTAAATTTTATTTTAAATTGTGTCTCTGTATATTTTAGATAGAATTTTTTTTTTTTATAATGTAGAGAAATCCTCAAACTCAGGTGCAGTGTAGTTCAATATTTATCAATGATATATACTCATGTTTAATCTTTAGCTTCCACGTCTGATCGTTTATTGTGTGAAATGATGTTGGTATGAAGACATGTCAGAGCTCCACGTGCAGCCCGAGTTTATAGTTGATCGCGTGACAGTGTGAAGATGCTTCACATCCTCTGTGTGGGTTTTGAGTCAGCTGTCACGTTGTGCCGTTTTGTGCGAGATACACACTTCAGTACATCAGTACAGCATCTCCAAATATATCTCGACAATTTCAGACGTGCAACAAATTATTGTTTTTGAAGAATCTCTATTTGTATTGATTAATCATTTATTCTATCTGAGATGCAAAGAGCTGAAAGTGACATCTTCAAAGTGCTATAATACAATAATATAATAAGTATCATCTAAGGAAGTTAAACCAGCGAATGTTTGACATTTTTACATGATAAAAAATGTAAAAAGTTAATTAATTATCCAACATTCAGTTGATTCATCTTCCATTAATCCACTTATTGATATTCAGCACAATATATTATACATTTTCCTTATTTTTGGGGCATTTTGTTTTAGTGTTTATTAGATAGATGTATTAGAAATGACAGTTAATGAAGTGGAATTACAAGAAACAAAGGTCCAGACAATAATTTGATACACTGTTGTTTCCCTCTAGACCACCACAGTATTACTTACTGTAATCTACAGAGAGAATTTAGCATCATTATAATGTTATAAATAAGGATTTTAAAACAGCTTTTAAGTTCAATGTATGTATTGACAGTCCCTGTCAATAAATTAAAAAGAAAATCATATATTTAATTTATTTTAATTAAATGTATTCATGGGTTATTGATTTTCATTTATTAAAATATGTACTAATTAAAAATGGCTGTTATGTATAATGTATGTGCTCGTCTGTGTTTTGACAGTCACAACATGAAAGCACAATGGACAGACCACCTGTGGAGAGATCACAGACCACAGACAACAGACAGACACACAGACTGTATCCATCACTGCTGAACACAGACAGGTGAGGCACATCACCTCATTGACCTCAGATATCATTACTGCATTTAAAAAGTACTGCCTATGATGTACTGGCAGTGGTGGGAGAAGTACTCAGATCCTTAAGTAAAAGTAGAAATATAGTGGGCAAATACTGCATTACATTTGAAAGTCCTGACTTCAAAAATATGTGTTTTCATGCAGTTTAATGAAATGCAAATAAATGCCAAATGTTCATTTTTGTTTATGTGATCAAATGTTTTCAGGTACGAGGTTTGTGTGGCGGACCGCACCACAGGAGAAACGCTTCACACAGCAGCAGTCTATCATCCCGACAGTGTCACTCAGGTATATTAACAGTTGCAACATTGGAAGATACGTCCGAGAGGATAATATCCACCCTCATGTTGTCACCGTCTGATTCCCTGAAAAAAACATGTTCTTTGTGTCTTTATGACTGGAAACACTTCACAGCAAAACTTCCAGAAATATGTAAACGGAAGTTGTTGTATAACAGTTATATTGCATAATTGGATGTGCAGTCACAGATGGACTTACCGTGTGCCACATTTTAATAGTTCCTCTTTTTTTTTTTTGCTCTATTTGCTTCAGTCAGAAGCGTCAGCTGGGAGCCGTGACGTCCGAATGAAAGCACAGATAATTCTCTTGGAGCTGCAAAGGCAAGAGGTGAGTACATTTCAGAAGCGACATTTATATTCCTCCCGAAAAACACACACACTTGTACTTTTCAGTACTTAAAAAACAATCCTGTTCTTTCTATTTTTCCTCAGCTTCTTTCTATTAATGAGAAATGGGCGAAAGAGTACCGCACCATGGTACGGTACTACAAAGAGAGGGTAAATTCACAAAACCTTGTTTTATTCAGCACATGTCAGCTTTTTGATGATTTTATGTCGTTTCAGTGATTTCATGCCTTGTGTCCTTTTACCTAAACGCTCAGGTCCAGGACTTAGAAGCATTACTGCAACGTAAGACGTGTGAAGAGGGAGAAAATAACATCACATCATCCAAGCAAGTCAAAGATAAAGAGAACGCTTTGGTAAGTGCAGCGTGCATTCTAATTCCAGATTCAATGCAAGGTATTTTCATTTAAAAAAAATGTGTGTAATAATTTGATCCCTTGCGTGAAAATTCTCACAGAAGGGAGACGAGCTACTGAAAGCAGAAAAAGAGGCGGAAGAGCTGCGAGCACGAAACAGCACTTTGACACGAAAAGCGCAGCATCAGCACGACGAGATCAGACGATTGAACAAGGTGAGGCCTGGAATGGTACACATCCGAGAGAAGGCGTTTAAATTGTCTGTTCCCCCACAACAACAGTGGTGTTATAGCTGCTTTGACATGTTTGTGCAGGCTCTACAGGAGGCGCTTCAGACTGCTCAACCTCTCAGTGTGAGCAGTGAAACACTACAGGATGTCTGGAAACATCAGGTGAGCTTCCTTCATATATGTGCATTTTCAGTACGCTTTCTCGCCGACAGTTTGGTGAGAAGATTGATGCCAATCTCATGGTTGTTTTTACCTTCAGAGAGAGCCAGGCTCGTTGTTTTCCTCTGTTTTCAGTCTTTGTGCTAAGCTAAGCTAACCCGCTGCACGAACTCTCTGCAAGAAAACAAATAAGGTTGTTTCCCAAAACATTCAGGCTATTCCTTTAAGGCGGTCGCCTATTTGAATCCTTGTTTCATGTCTCCTCCTCGTGCATTTTTAGGCCGAAGTCTACAAGGAGGACTTTTTGACGGAGCGCAGGGACAGGGAGAAGCTGAAGGACAAGTATCTGGAGCAAGAGAAGAAGTTTAGGAAAGTTCACAGTGAGCTACGCGTCCTCAAATCTCAGGTACAACAACAACACCGTCTGTGTGCCATGTTCACCATAGTAAATATCAAATGAAGGCATGACGACTTTAACGAAGCGTCTCCGTCTTTGCAGGTGACGTGGACTCCGCCACCGCAGCCTGTGCTCAAAAGCAGCACCACAAATCAAGCCGCATGTCCACACTGGGAGCTCCGCCAGATTGACCAGCACCACGTCCAGCTGCAAAGACGCAACACGCTCAGCAAACCGTGACAATCGACGACGTCCTCGCTCTTTTGTGTGATAATATGTGTTGAAGGTCTACGATCACAGATCATCATTAGCGGGGTGAGACTTTTCTAGTTTATCAAGGAAGTGAGCTCTGTTCTGTTTCAGTCCTCGGGCCGACTTCAGGTAGTTCTTGTCGTGGTCGTAACGAGGCCAATCCACCAGTCCGGGCCCACTGGGAGTCCTGGGAAGCAAACACGTATAAATACACTTGAACAGCCTGTGAAATAGAAGTGTGACCCTGTAGTTTAAACACTTCCCAAGAGGAGAAAAGCAGAATAGAGGGGAATAAAAAACACTCTACCCATTGCGTGCAAAGCTTGCTTAGTTCCTCCTCTCCACACAGGTCCTGAGGGAGATATCAGTATTGCACTGCCCAAACACTATTGACTTTATCAAAGGTGCAACATGAATGAAGGATCTTCCTGTTTCAAGTACCTGTAACCACAGCGTGCCCAGTGCAAAAAGAGGATCCAAGAGACAACAGAAGGTCATCATAGTGGTCAGCTTTGACATAAGTTAGTCTTGTCCCGCCGGGCATCAGAGGAGAATGCTGACACCCGTAGACGTACGCAGGCCGCAGAGCACCTGCATCTATCTGGAAGAATCAAAACGCAAGTCATGTTGTGTGACGACAAGGAGGGCTGCGATTTATTCTGACTCGCAATAAAGCACCTCTGTGGTATGCAGACACTTTAAGAACTGGAAGAACGAGGACCGAGTATCTCAGTGAAAGCGTCCCGCACGTTCTCTGGAGAGTCGTCCTGTAGCAGGTGTTCATTCAGTATGACCTCATTCACACCTGAGGCCTGTCAGAGGAAAGATAGAGGTGGTGGGAGAAGACGAAGAAATATATAGGAACATTTATTTTTACAGTATATTTAAAAAGGTTTATTTTTTTTCCCTGTTTCTTGTTTATTTATCATGACAATAAATCGTTGAATGTGTGTCGGTTGGATGTCACTTATACGGGAGGGAAAGAACATGTCCATCACTGATGTCACACCTTCCCTCTTCATACCTTGATCCCATCCAGGAGCTCCTAGGAGCTAATCTTAAGATACATGCAGTGTGTCAAGAAAATAATGAGGGACTGCAGGCACAAATACATCTGTAGTCTGTATTCCAAATCCTGAGGGAAACTTGTCCCTCCACACTCACCAATATAGAGATGGCTCCTGCAGATTGCGGGTCTCCATTAAAGGCCTATTGAACGAACCCACTGAAGGCAACTTCATCCAGGAAGCCCCAGTTCTCCAGTGCTCATTCAAAAGCTCATTTAAAAACAACTAGTCACTTGGTTAGGTGGTGTTTATCTCACACTATTACCTGATGTTATCATCAGCAGCACCAAGAAACCTAGGACCTCTAGAGACCTCTACTGGCAGACGGAAGCAGGTGCAACAGCTGACTTTTCTCTACGACACAATTCTCACAAGACTTCAGACCCCCTGCATTGTGAAAACCTGTAATTCAACCTACCATAGATCCACAATATATTAACAGGAGCTACTAGACACTATTATGGTGCTGCAAATGACTATATATAACACTTGATCCCCACTATGTTGCATTTATAAGCAGTATAAAAATCTATAAATGGTTTGTAATGCACTATACAACACTATAGTTGGAAGCACATAAGGACATTGCTCCATGTTAATTAATGCGAGGGATGTGTGTATTTAAACCATATACCTAAAATATCAAATGTGTTCCAGTCTGACACCGTAATAATCCCAAAATACTGAGTCGATACTGAATGACGACCACAAGCACGCACCGGTAATCTGCCGGAGGTGAACATTCATACTGGAAGGCCCCTCTAGAGAGTGAAACTGGAAATTCTGGGTTCTAATTTAAGAAGTAAGAAAAAGCTCATTTTAAAATCCCATTGACATCCGTCACACGGCATGTAGTGTGGTTCGCTCTATACGTCGAGATAAGGACTGTAATCGTTTGGATGATCTAATACTGTTGTTTATTCAACATTTCAGGGTTTACTTTGGCACACTTCAATGAACACAATTTCCCATGAGCCCCAAAAGAGTTGAGTCCACTGGTATGTCGAGGGGTCGTGGCTCTGATAACAGCAGAACGGAGAGAAGCAAACGCTGCACGCGTTGATGGACGGCAGAGAATAGTAAGAAGTACCTGCGGCGGTAAATTGTCATGGGAGCTGTAGCCTAGTTTCATTTAGTTAAACTCAGATGTTTCAACTTCTAATAGCTGCTGAAGTGGATCACAATTTGTCTTAGAACACAAATAAATGTTGAATGAGGGATTGCTTATAGTTACAGAAGCTATAAGGAAAAGTAGCTCGCCCACATGTGAAGTCATGGCTTAAAATGTTGAACTGATGACGGTACGAGAGTAAATATGTAGGGGTTACCAAAGTTATTACAGTTCCTCTATAGGGGTACTTGACATTGTGGATTTCCTGAAACACTATCGCTTTAGACTCTTGAAAGTTCATACATCCTCCTGGACGTGCTACGGATACTCCTCTCCAACAATGTCCTCATTTCCCATGCAGCGGACCCGCAAGGGCGCCAAAGGTGGATGAGCAAACGTGATTCATAAATACTCCTCCAGCTGCTGCTCTGCACCTTTCACTGAGCCAAGGAACGCTGCAGGAGCACGGCTATCAAGAACAGGTGGTGGAGAATGTTTCTCATAGCTGATACAGAAAGAGGAATATAGAACTGGAGCAATAATGACTTACATACTATCTTATAACTCAGTCCTAAAGTATGTATAAATATGGACAGATAGACAGGTGCGTGTAACATGCAGGTTTAATTCAGCCAATGGCCTGAAAGCAGGAGGCCATGCCCTTTGATCGCACACGCTCCAGTCCCTAAAACATCCATATATGGTATTCCTCCTTAGTTACTTTAACGACTCACAACTGCAGCGAGGATTTGAGTAAAACACTCACAGTTGTCGAGGCGGCTTTTGAAGAAGTTTATTGGCACAGTTATAGCAGCAATGTGTTCTTTGTTTATTAATCTCAACAACAACTTTGTTTCTATTTGGCTTTTGAAAAAAAAAAAAAGAATCTCTGGCTAATAGTTTTAATTTACAGAAAATGAAAAGAAATGATGACACTTTGAGCTCAGTTGAAGTGATTGTCAGCACAATTGCATAAAGTGCATATATGCAACATAAAGAAAGTGAAACTGAGAATATGTTCTGCTTTAGTTGCTGCGTCGTAGCTACATTCTTAGTGGTTCAGTCTAAAGATACTCACTGTTTATAAATAGATGCAGGATTGTACGATTATGATTATGTTTCAGGGCCGTAAGGTGTTGAAATATGAAATATATAACAATGCTGTTACGTGGTGACACGACTGTACCCGCTGCTCAGTGTTGTAGCATGTTGTTTACGTTGTAAAGTGTGAAGACGTAATATACTGACATACGCTACTTCTCTGCCTTTTTTTTACAGATAAATATGTTAAATACAGTCTATGGAAGTATTTTCAGCATCAACAGCCACCAGGCGGATTCAAAGAGACAAATTCTGGCCAGTATTGCACACCAGGTTTTCAACCAGTTCTGACACATCGGCTGCTGAACTCTGCCAACTCCATAGCAGGAATATTAGAACATCCACTTGTCAGAGGACCAGACCAAGAGCTCCCCCGTCTCCAACCCCCCCCTCCCCCCCCGCCTGGTCTCAGTAGAAAGCGGGGTTTGTGTGCTCGATGACGCAGCGTCGGCAGTGGCGTCTTACAAACCGCAGAGCCTCTGGCGACACCTCGCAGTCCTGCACGTTGAGAAGCTGCAGCTCGCAGCAGTTGGCCGCCAGAGCTTTGAGTCCTCTGCCCGTCAAGCTCTCGCAGGCCCTGAGACTCACTCGCCTCAGGCCTTGGCAGTACATGGCCAGCTGCTCCAGCCCGCTGTCCGACACGAGCGGGCACTTGCCCACGTCCAGGGACTTGAGTCTGGGGCAGCTCCTGGCCAAGTGGCTCAGGCCGTGGTCCGTCAGCCCCTCGCAACCTCTGGCGTTCAAGTAGCGCAGTCTCGGGCAGTAGCGGGCCACGTAGCGAATGCCCACGTCGGTTATGCGCGTGCAGTGGGCCACGCTCAGGTAGCGCAGGCAGCCCTCCAGGCGGGCGACCTCCCGCAGGCCGAAATCCCCCACCAGGCGGCAGTCGCTGAGGCTGAGCTCCTTTATCGAGGGGCAGTGGAGAGCCAGTTGGCGCAAGGCCTCGTCCGTCAGTCGGATGCAGCGGCGTAAATACAGATGTGTCAGGCGGGGGCAGTGGGAGGCGATAGTTCGCAAGCCCTCATCCTCGAGGGAAAAACAATCGGTCATGTCCAGGTAGTGGATGGAGATCTGCTGGCCGTGAAGAGGGGACAGCTGGAGCGAGGCCTCCTGGGTGAGGCTGATGCACGTGACTTTGGAGCAGCCTGGAGGAGGACGAGGAAGCAGAGGTTGTCAGCTCATAAACAGAGGATTTCTTCAAAGCGGATTGTTTTTGTTGAAAGGATACATTCAGAAAATGAAAAGTCCATCTTAAAACAGCCTTTCTCAAACTGAAGAGACCGTTAACCACCTGATTCCTCTAATTCAGATGGCTAAATGCTGATATTTGTATTGTTTCTTCAATACAAATATCAGCATTTTCTTCTATTTCATTAACAGTAGATAGGAAGGGATCTCATAGTGGCCAGTTTTGAACAGGAGGAATGTTTACAAAAAGCAAAAACTGTTTTAATGTGCATACGGTCATGTGAGCATTGTTTTAAGACGGACTTGAAAAAATGTCAACGTTCCCTTTAACACAATTTATTTTTGAAGAAGTATTCTGAGTCGCCACTTGAGGGCGCCAGAGTAAAGCCTGCTGTGTTTGGCTACACGCCTGCAGCAAGAAGCATGAAACTGTCTGAGTGCAAACAACTCCAAGGAAACCAAAATTGTGGTGAAAAATAATCGAAGGCTGATGTCCTCACCAGTTGAAATAGTAGACTTGATTTTCATTATTCTGTGTCGTTCAAATAAAAGCCTTTTTTTTTTTACAACAAAGGGGCTAACTTCCTGGTGCTAATGGTGCAGACGTTGCTCTGCCACCAGAGTCCCGTCCAAGTCAATGTTATTTGTGTCACTTAATGAAAGCAGCAGACCGCTCTCACTCACGTCGAGGTGAGTTCTGCTTTTGGCTAAAGAAAGCCTTTCTTCTCCCACATGGGAGCTTAAGGTTGGCAGAGCTTCTCCTGCTCCTCTAATGGCTTCACCAGCTTTAGTAGAAACGGCTAAGAGGGACCGAGGAGTGGAGATTTGTTTTGAGGTAAAGCCACACATGTGCATGATGTCGGGTAGCGGTAATAAAACCGAGAGACCATTACCAAACCTTTATGGCAAGATGTTCTAGTACATTTCTTTTTTACCTGAGAGGTTCAGGTGTTCCAGGCTTGGGCAGCGGGACACCACCTCGAACACGGCCTCGTTGGAGATGTTATAACAGCCGGCAACCTCCAGGCGGCGCAGCTCCGGGCAGCACTGGGCCACCACATGCAGTCCCCGGTCGGTGAGCCTTTTGCAGCCGTTCACCACCACCGTCTCCAGGGTCAGACACACGTTCGGGGTGTCCTGACACAGCCGGTGGGTCAGCACCCTGATGGCGCGGTCGACGTGAAGCAGCTCCCCGGTCAGCCGGACCGTGCCCCACAGCCTCGGGTCCCACGCCAGGTTGTACCAGCGGCGGCACACGCGCGCACAACGGCACAGCTGATTGGTGGGGAGGTGGGAGAAGATCTGCAGCAGGGCGTGGTCGGGGAGGAGGTCAACGAGGGCGTGGTGGTGGCTTTTGGACTGGCGCGAGCGCGTGTGGGTGCCGGGCTGGGAGTGGACCACGGCGACGGTCTCGGCGCGGGCCGACGAGGAGGAAGAGGAGTTGGTGTCATGGCCGTTACTGGAGAGGGCAGGTGAGGAGAGGGAGGAGGACTTGGATGGCAGGATAAGACCGGGGCTGGGGGTGCTCAGAGTCCGGGTGCTGGAGTCTAAACCTGAGAAAGAAGAGCACAAGATATGTGAGGAAAGAGAAGGGCAGAGTCGGAAGACAATGAGAAGTTAATTTTGCTTAAAAAACTCTTTTGAACTCTTAACATGCTTCATGTGTCTATGAGCCTTGAAGGGGTAAAATATGCAGGTTTTGTTTTCTTATTGTCAATCTTGTTCAAACCTTTTCCTCAAACCTCTTCTCATGTAGAACACACCTTAAATGATTTGAGTCAACAACAACCAAGTTTAAGACCTGGTCTAATGTCGGATTGTTGAAGAAAAAGCAGCAAAATTGCACTTTTTCTTGTTTTCACGAATAGAATGAAAGTTTCACACAACTGAAACAGTGTTTGAAGGAGTCTGTTTGTTAGTCCTGGTTTGAGAACGCTGGTTTTGAGCTTGACCTAATGTGATCTGGATGGAGACAGGGCAAATGAAATAACCCTCATGAATAAAATAAAGCTTTCACAAATCTGAAAGTTACATCACTTGAGTCATTCAATCGGATTTCACGAAGCTCCCTCTGTAGCCAACACAAAGATTTATACAACTTTTTTTCAACACATATGCAGTCTAATTCCACAAGAGTTGTAAACAGACTTTTAAAGTTCCTCTTTAAAACACAACATGTATTCTCCCTTCTTCGACTATGATGAATTTCTTGCTTTATCACTCTTCAAAAACAGCTAAAAAGCTGAGGAAATAGGTCAAAAAGTGCATCACGGTGGTGCCATATAGCCACACCAGCTTTTATCATCAACGAAGAGGAGTTTCCATGGATCTGGATATCGTGTTTTTGGATGTTTGGGGAAAAAATGTGTCACAGGGCCTCTCCATCAGATGAACTCTGTGGCTTCAAAGCGACCAGCTGAGGGGCTGACACTGTAAGGTTATCCGTCTGTAAACACTGAGGCACTCCTGACAGATGTGCGCTCATCGCCGCCGCGTCTGAAGACGCAGCTGTGAGAATCTGGGGGCTGGATCCCATCACCGTGGCGTGAGCCCTCCGCTTCATAAGCCAGGGCGTCGGGATCGTGCTCCCGGGGTTGACCCCATCACACCGGGACACTGAGTGCTCTTCTCTGATGATATCTGCGTCTCCCCATCAGCCCTTCAGCTCGTCTTGTCCAATTCGGAGGAGCTCAGTGGGATTGATAGTCATCACTAAAAGCATTTCAAGTAGTCACGAGTGTGATGTCACTTACAGCTGTCCAACTACGACTCTGCAGGCTTTATGTGCAAAGAAAAATGAGGTGTTATCATGTTTCAAAATAAAGATTATTTTGTATGTTTGAGGCTTATAGTTATTTGATGGTAAAGGCGAGTCTCGAACTATTTTGTTAAGACTATCATAACAAAACAGAGTTTTTGTCAAAGGCCTTTAAGGAAATATATCGTATCATTCTAGGAAACTTTTTAGGAACTCAATAAGTTTATATCGCGACTTTTCTTCAGTAAGTCTTACAATACGGACAGAAAGAGTTTTGAGGTGTTTTCCCAAAAGGCAATATTCAGTATCAACTTTGGCCAAAAGTTTTAATTTATAATCCTAGAATTCAAAATGCAATGGACACAATAAAAAGAACACCAAATGGCCCTTTTCACAGATGATTGGTCTGTGGCGCTTCAAACTCTGACGCTCTAGGTACCCCTCTAGCATCAGCTTTGGATGTGTCAGTTTCCTGTGTCTTTTCAAAATAAACTTCAAACGTAGATTTACTTGGCTCGGTTTAGGCCACAAAACTACTTGCTCCTCATTCAGACGGTAAAGGGGCCTCTGTGCATTGATGTGGTGAGTCAACACTATGGTAGCTTTAAGGTGGTATTTGAATAAACGATACTCAGCTTTACTTTTGCTACCTGCCATTTCCCCGATGATTCCCGTACATTTACACAGATATCATCTTATCAACACTTTATCTACCTACACTCCCAGTCATGTAGATTGAACCATGATTGAACCGCGTTGGTAAATGGACTCTTCAGGACCGCCAGTCAGCTGGGTCTACACAGCGTATGTCAGCATCTTCATGAAGAATGGACCGCATCCTGCCTGTCATGTGGATTTGTGTGCAGGGACGGACAGCTGGGCAGTGACACCGTCCTTGCGACCGTCCTGCAGATCTGTATTCCAGACCTCGGCGCGGTCCGCCTCCCTCCTCGCCTCTGATGACATCCGCAGACTCGCCCCCCTCTCGGGAACATGTCGACCGATTCACGGCTACTTTACAAACCTCCTCTCTCGTGGGCCTTAAAATTCTCACTCGAATGCAGATTCGAGAAAGAACTACAAGTGCCGCAGTGCAAAATGCATAGCGTGTTAAAATCTGCACTCAGTTCAGGTTTAATACATCACATTCTTGGGTGGTCTGCCTATGATTAGCTCAACTTTTGATGTCTGGGATTATTTCCTTGAGGTCATCTATCTTATTTTAGCTGTGTATATCCATCTTAATACAAAGGATTTAATGGTTTGAGATCCTTATAAACACCTCGTCTATTTCGAATTTCACACACCTGTCCAAATAAGTCATGACAGTAGTGGTGCTGGTGCACTGCAAGTATTGCAAGATTCCTGAGTTAATACCTAGCGATTGTGGAATTATCCAACAGGGGCTGGAAACCACACACTATGCAGCACAGAGCTACATGAAATCAGTATATTTTTGACAACGGGTCGCTTGCAATTAAATCTTTTCATTAAATGATATAAGCTCATATATTTACTCCTAAAAAGCTGAATTCAAGTGTCAACCCCGAGGCAAAGATCTACAAAAAATCTCGACATGCAGGAGAAGATCGGATTGCATTGCATGTGTCTTGATGAATGCGTGTCTTTGTTGTCCAAGTTAATGCGATGGATTCTGCACGCAACAGATGAACTCATCTGCCACTGGCTAAGGAGCAACTTCCAAATTGCGTAATTACATGTGTCACTGATCAGAAGAGAGCTCCAAGCGGAGAAACACAGTGCTACTAATTAGACTGCATCCACCCCCTTCCCTTCTCTCAGAGTCACACTACCACACAGCTGGTGGGGAAAGTTAAATGAAGACAGCTTTGCAGATTAGCGTGGTTGCACTGGATTTTGGAGAGATAGCACCTGGGTCTCTTTAAGAAGGCCCAGGTGTTATCTAGCTGAGTAAGGCATATGTTTATCCAATCGCCATTGACTATTGATGCTGTAAATTATCTTGTGATTGAAATATTTTCTTTCGCACTTTGAAACTTCTGGAGATGAAAGAAGTCTCTCCTTTTTGCATCTGAAGAACCTAGTTTTTCAGCAGTGTGCGAGCCTTTTGTTCCATGTGATGATGATGCATTTGCAATCAACAATCAATCATACTCTATTCTCCATAGTAAGTAAATGATGTATGAATGCAAATAAATTGCCAAGCATGATGAAATAATCAATATTAACTGCATGCAAAATAAGCACTTCATCAGGTGCAGAAAGTATTTATCATCCTGAGAAAGGTCACTCTTGATAAACTCGAAGTTGACTTACTGTACTAACATATTTCAGAGCTTTCAACTATATCGCATCCAAGTGTCCCTTGGGTTGGGATTGTGGGATTTGGATGGATTTTACCAACCGTAGTTATCGCGATCGCAACAGAAAACAGCAGGCCTGGAGGCAAATTTTGGGTAAGTTGTTTTCATATATTTAAACTGTACTGTACGATTAACTATTAGGAAACGTAAAGTTCATGGTGTGTGTTAAGCTAAAGTAAGCACTCATTTGGTGCTTACATAACAACAACAACACCAAAAAAAAGATCTGATTGGGCAACAAAAGGCAGAATAGTGACCCTCGCATTTCGTCTGATCGGGCTGTAAGACTACTACAATTTCCAAGGTCAAGAATTAAGTTCATGCTTAAGCCGACAGACATGAGAAGTCCTAGAAGTGCTATGGACAACAGATCTATCTCTATGACCGCTAAGCAAACTCAGTTAACAAAGACCATCTGAAACAATTAAAAGCTCCAGAAAAAGCTAGCCAGTGGAACCTTGAGTTATATTTGTTTGGTTCGTAAACCCGCAGCTCCAAACTCCATAGAAGTCAACCAGTGTGGTGTCTTGTTTTATATCTGTGTATCACTGCAAACCTATCATTAACAGAACAGATACCATGCAGCTGTTAAAATGCTCTTCAAGGGAACTGTAAGTGCAGATGGTGGGAGACTCAGTTCGGTTCAGGAAATCAGAGAAGAAACAGTGGAACATCTGGTCTTTACCCTGGACAAAGAACAACGGAACAGTGGTGAAATGAAAGAGAAACTCATGCATTTTGAATGTGCGTATAGCCACAGAAAGGCATACTTGGCTGAAATCACTGCCACTAATAACCAAATCTAAGCTGATCCACAGAAGGGCCGCAGCAGGATCCCATTAACATCAACTTACTTCTGAGACACATCTGGAACGGGCTTTGATACCAGAGGTTTAATGTAAATCAATGGAAGTGATCATTGAAAGGACAAGATGCTTGCGTGATGAGGAGGATGCAGCTGCATGTTCGGAGTGATGTCGCTTTAATGACAAAAACCTGATGATTTCTTCACAAAAACAGATTCAAGGGCCTCTGAAAGAAAAGAGGGGCAAGAGAGAATAGAGAGAGGGAAGATAAATTGGCAAAAGAGTCTGCAGACTTTAGCAGAGACGGAGACAAGTGCACAGGCAGGGTCAATCCAGAGTTTGACGCAGTCTGGTCATAAACCAAAGCCATAGGGATTCTTTTTCAGGATCTCGCAGTGCTGTGAAGCTCTGCTAAGACCCTGTGTGGAGCTCGCAGGGTTATTACCGCTGCATCTGGCAGAACAGACCAATCCATTACCTCAATGCCATTAGCCCTGTGACATATTCCTGCTCCGCAAACTCCACAAGCTCCACTGTGCTCCCCCCCCCCCGCCAACCAAGACCGTGACAGGCCACGTGGTGCACGTGAGGAAATCAGAGACGCTCAAAAACCAGGAGATCAAATTCAAATCAACACGAGAGGG